TTTACCTTTCCAGGGTGATCATACAAGGGAGAAAGGTCTGAGAATAAAGATGGAACCCCCTGAGACACCAAGAAATATAACATTATTTCACCCAACAAACTAAAAAACCAGTCAAAACTAACACAAAAAAAAGAAAAAAAAATCTCAATTGGATGTATATACCTTGTTAGAAGAGGTCTTAATGTAAATTAAATGCTGCTTCCACAAATTTTTGTTCGCTTGCAGGAAAATCAGAGTATTTTTTTCTTTTTTTCCCTCGTAAAAAAATTTGAGGGAAAAACAAGTTCTAATATAAAGTCACGTACAATTCTTAAGGGTGAAGCATATTAAAGCATATTTTAACCACCTAGATCTTACAATTGTCACATCAGACATCAATTAAGTATTTCAGCGATAATACCACAACTATTATTTCTAGATTATTTAAGAACATCACAAGCTATTGAATGATTGTGTCTGTTGTAGAAGCACATCACTAGATTTTGTCACATAATTCTTATCAAGCCATCAAGAAAAATAAGATCCCTACAAGAGTATTTGTAAAAATAGCCACCCTTCCTCTCTCTAGAAAAGGGGAGAAAGCTGACAGCTCTGCCAGAAAAGTAAGGTTTTCGTTGGATTTGCATCATGTGATTCCATAAATAGAGAGAGAGAGAAGAAAATACCAGGATAAATATAATGAACAGAACATCCCAAGGTACCATTTGGAGCTCATAAAAAAAATAATAAAAAAAAGAGAATACAAAACAGAAATTGAAATTAATATGACTAACAGTTAAGACATAATAAAACAGTTTAGACTAGCACATTCCACCACTAGGGAGTTTTTGCAATAAACAGAATGTATCGATAACATCCATCATAAATTCCTAATGAAAACAGAAGCACAACATAAATCCATCACCTTAACTGCACAAGACCAAGTGTACTATTGTGAAAGTGATTTGTGTAATGCATCCAATCGATCAAATTCATCAGAGGGATACTTGGCATTTTCAGAATACAGGCCAAAGCATTTCTGCAAGCCTTCATAATATCTGAAAAAATATACATATACAAATACAAAAATTGTAAGTGGTTGGCTCCTGGTTTATCAGACCTAAATAGCAATAAATTGCGCCGATATATAGGCATATACTGAGTGAAGAGACATAAGTTAACAGTTCTGTGAAAGAATTTTCCTCATTTCCCAATCTGAGAAAGCACCCAAGAGACTGTTGACACATATAGTAGTATAGAATTACAGTTCTGCTCATAGTTGCTTTGCTACTTTTTAATTATATTTATATATGAGGTGGTGCATAATGCTTCTTTTTACTAAAAGAGCTAAGCAAAGGGCTTGACAGGACAGAGAGATATAAAACAATCCCAAGAATGAAAAAAATAAAAATAACCTCATTTTATGTAAAGATACCATGATGTAAATGTAACACGCACAAGTATAAGCAAAAGCTTAAAGAAACAAAATTTAAAACTAAAAAACGATTGAATTTGTGACATAAGGGATACACACTGATTAGTTTCAAGCTTAAAGGACCAACGAAAATAGAGCATAAAAAATAATGACTATTTCTATAAAGTTCTAACATAGGTAAAGGAATTTGGGTGTTACTACAAGAAGAATTGAAAAACCTATTATCCCAACAAAAATATATTTAAACACACAAACTATTCAGAATATTAATTATTCTTCATTTCCTACAATAATAATACACCACGGCATTGAGAAAAAGAAGTCAATTATAACTTCAAGAAGTGCTATATAAAAGGAAAGAGTTGACTAATATTCTTTGCTATGAAAGATTTATTAATGACCTTAACTAGGTGTTTCAAAAGAGTACCCAATGCATAAGACTCACCTGTAATTGTCAGGGTTCATGGTAAGTAAAGCCTTGTAAATATTGGCACCTTCTTCTAGGCATCCAAGTTTCACCAGGAGAGAAACCTCTTGTTCTTTATAAGTCAATTTATCAACCTAGAATAATAGAATTGGTTAGAATTTTAATGTCCAAAAATTCAAAACTTACAAAATTTTAATGTTAAAAGTATTCAGGCATTATACATTTGACACGTACTATTTTTGGCTCTTTCTTATACAATTCCTTCAAGTGCTCTCTCAAGAAACCCAGATTCCTCTAGCAAAGAGATCTGGAGAAAAGTACCATACCCTCATAAACATCAGAAAAGCAGCAGGGGGCACACTAGTCTAGATGTACAGCATCCATTATGCATAATGAATGTAGTTATGCATATTTCTATGCCAATATATTATTAAAGAAACAAATGCTACTGCAAGGGCTAAGGCTTGTAGGTACTGTCCAATTGGTTAAGCTGTTTTCGAATCGTGTTAATGGTGTTAAACCAAAAAAGAGTAGTCAAAAAGGAAGATAGAGTAATTTATTAAGATGTTAGAAGCAAAAATTCCGAAATGGTTCCACAGAACATATAATTGGAGATTAGCAATTATTAAGATTCAGAGCTGCTAAGTACAAACACCACAGATATGATTACTGGTAGAAGGCCCAACAATTAGTGAACAAGCCATATTTCTCTCTAACATGAATACATCAAGACTTAAATATCTTATAGATGCCAAATACCACTATAGGCCACTAGTTAGTCCTCCATCTCAGATTAAAGTAAACTTGGAGATGATTTAATTTAACTTATCAGCCATACACACAGAATCATGAAAAGCCATACTTCACAAGTAGAAAAAATGGGTGTAACATGCACATGAAAGTAGATGAGATTTTGGCAATAAAATAAGCAGAAGGAAAAAAGAAGTTAAGAAGAAATGGGTAGGTTTTCTAATTGCATGTGAAAAAAATTAGAATTAATTCAAAAAAGGGACCCCATTTATAAAGAAGGTAAAGGCATTAAAAATCTTTAATTTTTGTATATTTAATTACTTTATTTGGTTTATGGATAATTTCACTAACTGTGTTGGCATCTGGTTAACAAGTGGCACCAAATCAGTCACTCCCATTCTACGTTAGTATAAATTCTAAAATTTTGAATGTCTGTATAATGAAGTCAACTCATGTGAAATTACAGCCACATCCCACATACAAATGCATGCAAAAAAAAAGAGTTGAAGTACACGACCAATACCTTATATAAAAGCATTTCACCATGCTCACAACGTTCATTATCTGGTGGATAATCATCTTCTAATGTCCCTTCAAATGCTTCCAAAATTTCAACTGCTTTTGCACCACTAATATCAACCAAAAAAGCAATACAGCATAAATACCTAAAGGATGAATGAAATTAATAAGACTTCATTCACTTAGAACTACTCGGCTAAGACAGGGACAGAAAAGGAAAAACCCTCGTAACTGTTGTGCCAACAACTTCAATTCATTCATATATAAAGCCAAATGAAAATATGGCATCATCATTGTCTCCATATAAAACTATAGCAAAAACAACAGAACTCTGCAGTTAACTAGGCATTGTTTGTAAAAGGCTAATTTGCAACCAAATTTCATAAATGCAAGTGCAACCAGCTTAGAATAGTAGGGTACCTATCTATCTACCCACCTATCTATACATATTAGTAACATCTTTAACACATTCTACACCCACAATATATTGTCATAAAAGAAGTTTGATACCTTATTGGATGTTTAGTTGAAGTCATACAAACAATATGAACCACGTGTTAAAAATCAACAGTAATTTCATCCATGTTAGCACCCATTTGATCATATAATTAGAAACATTAAGTCCTGATTAAGCATTTAATTTAAAGAAAGGCTTTCATTATATCAACAAATATTTCAACTTTCAATACCAAAAGGCCCTTCAATTTGGACCTTCAAGTATACATAACAATAACAACACTCTAAAACATGTTTCATAAAATAAAAGTCAACAGAAATTGGTGAAAGTTAGCATAAGAATTGGAACAAATTTTTTTAAGAAAAAAATAAAGGACAAGTACTTTGAGTTTAAATGGTGGGCTACAGCAAAGCCAATCCAGTTCACGCGATGATTTGGTTTCAAATGCAAAAGTTGTTGTCTTGTATCAACAAATCCTGTCAAATCTCGCATTTAACTTTTCAAATCTTAGTAGAAAGACAAATGCTCATCATCTTCATACTTTTTCCTTTAACTTTTCAAGGCATATAAACCATAAATAAGGGGGGGGGGGGGCACAAATAAGTTAATGCCAACAAATGACTTAATCATCTGAAATCATGAGTTAAGAATCCATAATATGGCAAGGGCTAAAGCATCGAGGAGAATAACAGAAATGAAAATCATCAATTTCAGTATCAAAGACGCCGACTTTTGTTACTATTCTGGAGCAGTAAGGCACATGGGCAGATGAAATTAAGAGAAGAACCGAACCAGATCTGATCCAGAAAGTATAAACACTTTCTAATTGCAAAGGTCATTAATGTTAAAACCTTCAACCATTAAGGAACTAGTAGAATGAGAGAGAAAAATGTTCTGTGGCGGTAAACCAGAAAGTATCAATTCAAGGTGGTTGATTCTTACAGGATAACGAGAATGAAAGGATCAAATCAGACTGGTTTCTTCTGATTATATTACTTGTCATTCTATAAACACTTTCAACCATTAAGGAACTAGTAGAATGAGAGATAAAAAGGATCTGCGGTGATAGACCAGAAACTATCAATTCAAGGTGGTTGCTTGTTACAGTATAATGAGAATGAAAGGATCAAATCAGACTGGTTGCTTCTGATTATATTACTTATGTTTTATTTTTGCGTGTGCCTCAAAACAAAACCTTCAATTAAGATACTAAATCTGAACCATCTCTCATATTAATCTGCTGCCAGAATATCAGATGATGTCTGTTATATCCTTTTCCTTCCCCTAAAGCCATAAATTGTTTCTACCAAAACTATGATCTAAATTTTCAAAGTTATAAAACCACCTGACTCATCTACTTTCTAAGTGTTTAAGAAGATATTTTTTTCATGGTGTCATACACCTCTCCCTTTTAGTTGAGTTATCTCCATAAATTCCATTCCTCTGTTTTAAGCCATATATCTTCGTCTCTTTTGTTACTATCTTAATATAATTATGCCTTTTCCATCCATCTACTAGTAGATTCCGTCAAGCAACTAAACAGCTTCAAATTTCATAAAATTTATTTTCACTTCATTACTAACTATGTAGCTGATCTTAGTGTTTTTATCCAGTTATATTAAGTTACCCCAATGAACCTGCCCTTACCAACTACCACATAACTTACAGTTGCACAAAAGTTGGCACCAAACTATTTTAGTTGCAATATTGACTTGCCTATAAGTACCCTAATACTTAAGATTCTCAAATTCTACAATGGAATCTGAAAAATCTTTTAGGCAAACCACAAAGCTTACAAGAAATCTTATACAGAGAAACTCCTTTAAATGTTCAAAAAATACCATGACAAGCAAATGTTCTTACTTAACATTAAGCATACAACAGATAAACATCTTAGATTTAACACTGAGTCTAGATGTACAAATCATAGAGAAGGAAGGTAAATAAGGTATACCTGCAAGAGTAACAAGTCCCGTAGTATTTCAATGTTGTCTGGATCTATTCTCAAAGCGTTGCAATAGCATTTGATAGCCTCCCTGTATTCTCTATCTGACCGATAGAGGAGACCATAAACGTGCCAGCAAACATGACTTTTTACATCATTCTACATTAAGACACAAACATGAAAACAATGCTAGGAAAAAGTGACACTGCTTTGACATTATAGCAACCAAAAGAAAATAAATAAGATAACCTTTACACCTAGCCGAACAAGCTCATAAGCTTCAGTTTTCCGATCCATGCAATTTAAGGTTAACCCCTTCATTGATAATGTTTCTGACAATAATGAATAAAAGCCCATATGACAACATACAAACACAACAAACAAACAGTTACCAGATAGTATAAAATATTACTGGAAACTGCATATTTAAAAGGATGGATATATTAAACAAAACGCTACTACACTCTACCAATACCGCACACTAATGAATATTCACAAAACCCAACCAAGATGAAGAAGGTATTCAAATATTGCAGATTTCAGACTGTATAGGTTAAAAATGTAGTTATATACCCGAAATAATGGCAATATATTCAGTTGATAGAGAATATCTCCACATTGATACTGCTAGAATGTTCCACTTATCTCTAGAACCATCATAAATCATGGACTAGTCACCATACAGCTAGTGCTTTCAAAAATGCAATTGACAGCAATCATAAGACATGAGAAAGGAACATACAGTCTACAGAAACAATCATGTCAAACTTAGAGGCATTCTTGTAAGGATTATGGAAACCAATAACCTTGATAACAACATAAACTATCTAGCGACAGCCCCTTTTTCCTCTAAAGTGTAAAGTTCTTTTTGTTTCAGAGTTCTTGCATCTTTATACAGGTACATTTACAAGAACCATGCAAACATAAACACTAAACAATAAGTGCCTCTCAGCCAAAAACAAATAAATAAATAAGTGCTTAAAATTAAACTACCTCCATGGTCAGGAAACTTTTTCAGTATTGCATCTGCAGCCTTCAGTCCTTTCTTGTACTGTTTAGTTTCATATGATTTCTGCAATGATAAAATATACAAAAGCTTTAGCAATAGCACATGGACCTCCAAAGCAATAAAAATTCAGTTATGAAAATTAGCTAGAGTATAATAACAGATAAATATTAATTACACAAAAATCAGGCAAAAAAACTGTGTCAAGAGTCCATTACTATAGAAGTTAAAATAGAGTAAGAATTCACCCGTCAAAACTCTAGTTTTCACTATAAATTAGAAGAAATAAGAGGGAAGGGGGGAAAACTCTCAATAGCGTGTGGAAAACATCCAAATGTTGCTATTCTATATCTAATACGAACAAGTTCTTAAAATATATAAATATTCAAGTTTAACCAGCAAAGCCTACAATTACATTAAAAATTGTCCCAGTCAATTTATCAAATTCTTAAATAGATTGTTTCACAAAGTTTGTTATTGTCTTGAATGCTTATGTGCATCAAAGCCAAAATGCCACAATTGTTTCCCATTAGGAACCAACAAAATTCCTATTTTAAAAAGTTGGCAACATACAAGAGAAATTACTAAAGTAGGAAGAGTCACCAAACCCTTTTATTTTCATTTCTCTAATTTTCTCCATGATGATACAAATGAATTATCACCAAAAGGAAAGCACAACGAGCATCCTTACTTAAAAAAAAAAAAAAAAAGGTCAAAGCAAAATTCAATTTTTTAAAGTTGCTTTTCAACAAATCGAATTCATTGACCTAAATTAAGCAAAGCAATAAACTTAATTAAGCTTCAATCGCCAAACAGAACAAAGAAAATGAACTTAATTTATATGAAAAATTGCCCAAAAGCAAAAACCTAATTGACAAACAAGCTTATCTAGTCCAAATTTCTATTCATAATTGATATCCACCGATTTTCTCAGCAAGCAAACAGACCAGTATCCAGCTAGGGTTTTGCAAGCAAAGAACAAAAAGAAAAAAGAAGTGCGATCCAATAAACAAAAAATAAGAAAGCAAAATACAAGTATAAATACCAACTAGAAATACGTAGATACGAACTCAAAAATGAGGGAGAAAAGAGAATCGAAGCCTTACGACAATGAGTTTGAAGAGGTTAGCTTCCTTCGGAGGCAACGAAGCTCCCATTGTTGAAGAAAATTAGAAAATTTTAGAAGAAAAACAAGAATCGTAAGAGAAAAAAAAAATGAGAAGATTGAGACTTGATGAAGTGAGAGTTAGGGGCTTGCAAGAGAGAGAATAGAGCGGTGGCGTTATCTGCTGCTTCAACCCTACGGTCAACAAGAAGCTTGAACAAAAGTAAAATTAAAAAAGGAATAAATAAATAATTATTGATTAATATATATGAGCCGTTGGTTCATTTGTCCGACGGAAAATTAACTGAGAGGTGATCTCACAAATTTTTATTAATTGATATCATAATAAGATACTTAAGATATAAAATTAATAAAAATATAAATTATTTTTATCATTTTAATGTTTAATAGGTGTTAATTTAAAATTTAAATGATTATTATATGTTACATATACATTTAATCAAAATATATGTACATTTAAATATAGAGATATAATTTTAACTTTTTATTAATTTTACTTATAAATATTTTTATTAATTATTTTATTATAAAATCAAATAATAAATATTTTTATGAAGTACTTAATTTTATAATTCTCTCCTTGTCTTTTTTTGTAGGCCCAATCATTTTTTAATCATCTATGCTACTAACATATATCAATTAAAAAAGTCACTTTGGCTTGTCTTTGAATCCGACATACTAAAAGACAATCTCAATCACTAATAAAATATGTTCGATATTTTGATAAGTAAGTTGTTTCAAAGTACAAATTAATCGAAAACAATTGGAGAAAACTTTCACTTCAAATAATAGCTAAACAAAAATAAAGTGAATACCAAAATTTGTCTTTTAAATAATCGTATTATCTTTGCATTATATGTTAAATCAAAGATCACAAAAATATTTAATTTTTATGATGATTTCAGATAAAGGAATAGAACCTGTTTTTCTTCGGTTTGAAACTAGCAGGGAAGCCTGCTTTTATAAATTGTGTTACGAATTTTATGAATGACAACAGATAAGATATATGTTAATTTTAAGTATCCCAATTTTTTATTTATTAAAATATTTGAATTCCATAAATACTCAAATAACTTTTAATTTTATTATCTAAATCTAACTCACATAATATATAAAAAAAAAAAACTCATTATTGTTCAAACTCATTAAATATTCGTTTATTAAGTTAAATTTTAAATTTTAAATTTTAAATTTAAATTTAAAATTGATTTTAAAAAATATTATTAAAAGAAATTAAATTAATAAATGAAAGTAATCCATATAAAATAAATAAAAGCTAAAATTATAAATTAAAACAATGAATAAATTAATTTAAGTATTACATTCATAATAAATAATTTTTAAATAAATCTATAATATTAAAATATTATTATTTATAATCAAGTTCGAATAATTAGTACCCTTAAAACACTATCTGAACTTTATGACAACCTACAATGAATTATAATATTTTATTATCGGAATATCATCCAAATCATACTACCCAAATCGACTTTTAGGATGCCCTAATCTTACTATCCAAATCCATACTACCTAAACCGACTTAGAGGATGCCCTAATCCAACCTGTTTTTATCCCTAATAATTTGATAACAAGATCAAAGTAAGAGATGGGATGAGTATGTTCATTATAAAGATTATTTTTTCTACTATCATATATGATGAAAAAAGAAATTTTCACCGTCAAGTACGGCAAAGCCACCAAATATTCCAACTTTAGTTTGAAAAATTTTAATTTACAACATGGTGAAGAGCAGATAGAGTATTTAAGAACAGTACCGATCAAAACAATTTCATGGCAAAGAAAGAGCAAAATATAAAACAGTGAAGGGAAAAAAGAACGAGAGGTAGCCTGAATAAACAATCTCTTAATAGTCATACACATAGAATCATGAAAAGCCATACTTCACAAGTAGAGAAATGAGTATAACATGTACATGAAAGTAGATGAGATTTTGGCAAAAAAATAACCAGAAGGAAAAAAGAAGTTCATACTTCACAAGTAGAGAAATGAGTATAACATGTACATGAAAGTAGATGAGATTTTGGCAATAAAATAACCAGAAGGAAAAAAGAAGTTAAGAAGAAATTGGTAGGTTTTCTAATTTTTATTTTTTTTCTTGTTTTTCTCTTTTTTTCACAAATTTCTTTTTATTTCTAATTTCCATTTTTTTTTGCACTTCCTTGTTTTGTTTTTATTTTTATTTTGTATTAACTTTTTTCCTTTGTTAAGTTTTCTTGTTACTTCTTATATATATATATATATTGCTTCTATTTTCTAAATTACATTTTTTTCTATTTTATCATCCCTTTTTATTTTTTAAAATTTTTTATTTTGATTTTATTTTATATATTTAGTATTTTCATTTTTTTACTTTCTCTTATATATTTTTTCTCATTTCATTTTGTTTTTATTATATATTGTATTAACTTTTCTTTAGTTTTTTATTTTATCATTTGTTGGCTATTTTTTATTGCATTTTTATAATGTTTTATTAACTTTTTTTCCTTTTAAATTTTTCTTCTTCTTTTTACTTATTTTTTCATGTACTTTCATATTTTTTTGTTTTCACCTTTTACTTTGTTTTAAAATTTTCTATATACTTTTTTTTCTTTTTGTTTTATTTCATATTTGTCTTTTCATTTTCTTCTCTTTTTTTCACAAATTTCTTTTTATTTCTTGTTTCCTTTTTTTTTTTTTTTGCACTTCCTTATTTTGTTTTTATTTTTATTTTGTATTAACTTTTTTCCTTTGTTAAGTTTTGTTATTACTTCTTATATATATATATATATATATTTTTTTTTTTTTTGCTTGTATTTTCTAAACTAAATTTTTTTCTATTTTGTCATCCCATTTAATTTTTGAAATCTTTATTTGTTTTTTATTTTGATTTTATTTTATATATTTAGTATTTTCTTTTTTCTTTTTTTGCTTTTTCTTATATCTTTTTTCACACTTCATTTTGTTTTTATTATTTTTGTATTAACTTTTCTTTGATTTTTTATATTTTTTTCTATATTTGTTTTTTTTTGTTTTTCTTTGTACCTTCTAAACTAAAAGTTTTTTTCTATTTTGACATTCCTGTTTATTTTTTAAATTTTTATTCATTTTCTCTTTTTTTATTATTTTGTTGATTTGTTAATTTTTTATTTTCTTTTTCTTGTTTATTTCTAATTGCTTTTCTTATTATAAAGTATAATAAACATTGTAATATTAATTAATAATAATTATAATCTTGAAAAATAATAATAATATAATAATAATAATAGTAATGGTTTTATCCAATTATTATTAGTTATAACATAATAATTTATATATGTGATAGAGAAATTAGTTCAAATAATTATGGTACTGATTATAACTATTATTATAATTAATTTATAAATAATTATTAATTATTTTATAAATATAATTTATTATTATATTTTTTAATATTAATAAAAAATATTGATGCTAAATGATTATAATTATTATAATATTATTAATTTATAATTATATAGTTATTTTATTTATTAATATATAATTGTTTAGTAAACACATTATTAACAATATTTAATATATATTATTACTATTTTATTTATAATATTTAAGAAATTATTTACAAATTAATAATTAATAAATTATATAATAACATAATAAGACATTTGTAAAATAATAGTTATCAAATTTATAAGTTAATATAAATTAATTAAGTTATTATATTATATATGAAGAATTTACATATATAAAACAATTTATAATTTCAATATAATTATTATATTAATAATAGTTTATAACATATAACTGGATTAACTAATATTAATAATTATATAATTTAATTATGTAATAATTGTTATAAGTTATTTGTTATTATTAATAATTTAATAATTATTTTTAGTTATTTGATAATTATTCTAATAATACTAATAATATTTATTATTATAACTATAGTATATTTATATTTAAAAAATATAACATCACTTTGAGAATTAATTAATTATAAAAATTATATAGTTATTTTATTTATTAATATATATAAATAATCATTTTTTTAAATAATTCTGATTTTAAAAGTAAAGAATATATTTTTATATATTAAAATATTTTAGTTATATATCAAATTATTAATATTATAATTTATATTATTACATTATAATAAATATAATTATATTGTAATTCATTATAATATATTTAATATAAATATAATTAATAGTAATATTTAAATATTCATTAATTAAATAATATAATATTATATAAATATTATTAGATAATATATTTTAATATTACTTAATTATATATAATCTAAATTAGATTTATAATATATAATATATTTATATATATATTAATAATTATTATTTAAACTAACTATTTGATAATTTAATAATTATAAATAACTATAATTAATTATTAAAAAGTATATTAAATATCATCTAAATTAATATAATAATATTAATTATAAGTATTAACATACTTAATATATAATAATTTATAAGAATTTAAAATTTAATATTAACTTAATATTAATTATATTAATAATTAATAAAAATAAATTATCTATAAGTTAGGAATATGTTGAATTTATTAATAATGATTTGAAATTAAATATTAAAACTATTATAATTTATTTAATATATAACATTTATTTCTATTTATATCATAAACATATTGATAATTAAGTCACTTTATAATATTGTATTATTATTAATTTATATTTATATAATTACTTAAATAACATCACATTATTATTAATATATTATAATTATAAGATTATAAATTAATAATTATATATAATTTATAAATATAATAAATTAATATTATTTTATATTAAATTATAATTATAAAATATAAAAAAATAATAAATTATTTATTCTAATATAATTTTATAAAAATATAACGGTTATTTTTAATAAATAATTATAATGTAATATAATTAAATTATCATAACTATTTACTTTATTTATGAACAATAAATCAATTATTAATATTATATAATTATAACTAATTATATAATTTATTAATTTATATTCTAAATATAAGTATAATATATAATATTTATAATTATTTAATAATTATTATTATTAATAGTGTAACTAATTGAAATTATATTATTTAATTATAATATATAAACTAATATATTATATTTATTAATATACAATTAATTATTACTAATATTGGATAAATTATATAATATTAATATGATAAGATTTGAAGTAAATAATTGCTCAAATA